CATCAGATAAACTTTCAAGTTTTGTTTAAGCTAAGAATCACTTTTTGAGTTCGTGTGGTTTGTGGTAAACTAACCTTATATAAAGATACGAACACAAACAGTCAGCTGGAAATCCAGCCATCAGATAGTTCAGTGTAAGCAATTCTGACCCAGCCTGAACAGAAGCGCCAAGAAAATGGGACGCGCACACGATTGTGTATTGTTAACTTGAATCAATCCAAACAAGTGGTTTGTTCATTTGTACAAATGCAACTGATGTGAGCTGTACAAAAAAAATAAAGCGAAAGTTGAAACGTTGTACATTTCTCTGTAGATGACAGGGGTGTAAATTGTAGGCATGTAAACTTATTCATGAATTTTAAATTGTGTAATCTCAGAGGCTGTTCAGTGTACTGTTACCTTTCAGTCCATTGATGTGATAATTTTCAATCTACGCAGACACGAATCTGCAACACTTAATATACTTTCATTCCGGTAGATCCCGTGGGTGAACAAGCGAACATCCACTGTTGACAGCGCTAGAGATTGCTGATGCATCTTGTTATGAGTATCTCTTTCCCCTTTGCTATGGCTAGGTAAATTTAACATTTTTACCCATCCTATTTGTAGCTTAAATGTGCCCTCAGTTACCAAAACAACTAAGGACCAGCAGCTGTGAACTAGATCACGTATACTGTCAACCACACTTCTCTACAACGTAGGAGATGAATACAAAATGCAGTCCTAATTCACTATATCCAGTTGTGCACATTTATATACCGCGATACTTCTTGGATAGGGTAAGTTTGTGGATAGTACATCCGTTCATGCACACCAGATAGCAACAAAAAAGTGTTATGGTGATCTACTTCTCTTTATTTCTTGATAAACTGGAAAAAACTTTAAACCAACCAATCAATTATAAGACAGAAAATTAATAAGGAATCGTAACGGTCGAACATTTCCACTTCGTATGCTACACTTAGAGACGACGGTTGCATAAAAGTGATTGAAATCCATTGTGTCAGATATTCACAACATTGGTGTGTGCTGTAATGGAATCCAAACTATATAGAAAAGTGTGCAACCGGATAGGGGCATGTGGTTTTTAGGGACATTTTAAGAGGTGTTGTATATCAAGTGTTAACTACGAGACGTCTGAACGTATATGAATACACTTCTGACACTGTACATCGTGCGCATCACTTCTCTCGGTAACTCTAATTTTCGTTTCAAAAATATCCTGTTTTCCTGCTGTTTGTAAACAAACCGTTAACCGAAATCCTTGGAATGTAACGCATCTTAAAGTGCAGCACTTTTTCAGTTCCCGTGATTTTTCGCGCTGTGGTGCGATCTATTGGTCGATACAATATTGTCTTGTCCACCTGCTGCTATGACCAACCAAATATGGGTACTGAACGGAGAAAACGGTTAACGGCGCAATTCTTGTTGCGCAAACATGTTCACCACTAGGTCATTCGATTCGCATTGAGCACGATCTAAATACTTTTCCACGTACGACTATTGAGTATTGCTCAGAATACGCAGTCACTTCGGAAGGAGACACGTCAACTGACCTGCTGACCGCAATCGACAACACCACTGTGTTGACCTCCCAATGAATTCGAAATATAGTGCAGTTAAATGGGTTTGCATTTTCCTTTGGAAAATACTCCAGTCAATAGCTCGTGTTTATTTTCATAGGACATAAAAGCAAACGGGTCGGACGAAAGCATATTCAAACTACAGACACACGAGGTGTTCAAAGTGATACCTTAACTTTCAGAGCTCTTTAAACTACGTACTTCGTTGTTTCACCTTCTTGAGAAGGTAACAGTCCTTTTGTTGACTCCGGTAATTTTGTCGGCGAATGATTCACCCATTGCTGTGCGTGGCTTTCCGGTTTCTCTGTTTAGTTGGCCTATAACGGTGTTATGTGTTATTAGCCATCAGTTGATGTACCTGGTGTTGAAACGTCTGTCTGCATATCCTGCTTTTCGGCCGGACTTCACAGCAGTAATCGGTTCGATATGTTGGCCCATATTCAAGCTGCCCGTTTTTACTTGTGCCAGTTTCGTTAAGCTAATTACGTCTACGTCCACTATATTATGCAGTACAAGAGTGGGCTATTCGTCCGTTTGTCAGAGTTTTAGTCCTGAACACGTGTATTGCCTAGTTAATCCTGGGGCTAATTAGATTAACTTTTTGCATACACCTCGGCTAGCGTCCTTCGATTAGTCACGTAATCGGTTGCCCACGAAACACAAGAGACATACTCCGAATATTTTGGCAAACAAAGCTCATTGTCACTGATCGTTATTTCAACCAATTACCCGACTGGAGCAACGTGACTCAAGGTCCAATTTGTTGTAGCCTTTACATATATATATGTATATCTATATATATATATATATTCGTCGGACTTATTACGTCGTAGTGGACGTAGACACTGCAACAAAAGAAACGAGAAATGGCAACACCAACGACAAAAGTGTACGCAAATTTCAAAGGAGCACGAGATCTTGTAACAGTATCTCCATTTAGTTCTATTCCCTGCCATTTCCCACAACGTCTCCATTCTCGTTTTGGTATCGTCCTTGAAAGCAGAAAGTCGATGACGCCATACGGAGCCTACATTTCACATAAGCGCCTTTAGTCCTCAAACCGACGTAGTACATTGCTCGTCTGGCTCTCCCCCCTGGAAGTGTGGAAAACACAACGTTGCAAGCGGCGAATCGGTATTTTCCGAACGTTTTCCAACCATCGAAGTATGCGCAGCATGGTCAACATAACCGAGGGTGTCCTATGCTTACTTTTTCCTGAGACATTCTACCAAATGATTTCGTGGTTTAGATGTTACCTGCACCACGCGTGCAATACTACGAACACACTGGTAATCATAAGAAAGTGGTCTTTTTACATCGTCCACAAGAATTCCAGTCATTATAATGAATACTGTTAGTGAACTGTGGATATGTTTGCCTTTCAGCATAGGTACCTCATAATTTATCCAACCGTTGGCTAGTGACGTTGTGACAGTGGCGTTTGTGCTCTTCATGTCCAATCATCCGTACAGCAAAGGCAATGAAAAACGAATCAGCCAAAGTTGCAATGATGCTGACTTGTGGCCTCCGCCTTGCCACAACCTAATGCTCAGTAGATTTAGGTCACATGTGGTTTGTATACTGTACATTGACTGTTTTAATACAAAGTCAGGTATTTTGTACATCAGGTTCCCTTTTTTTAATTTTATTTTCACTTTTGTGCCCTACTCAGTGGTACCAATGAATAGTATAACACATGCGGGATAGAACCGCTCGTCCGTTGTAATTAACGACGATATCCAGTGCCCATACGACCAAAAATTGGGAGCAACAGTCGAGCATGTTTGTTTTTTTGCTTGGAACATGATAAGGTACATACGAGCATCTTGCGATGCAGTAATTTTCAATTTTGCAAAATGACGTTCACGGTTACAGCCGCATATTCTTTACATACTGCTGATAAGTAACAGGTGATTGGTAATAAACTACACCTAGACCAAGTGTCTTCTGCGATCACAATGCCAATAATGATTTTTATTGTTACTGTACACTTTTTACTGTGGTTTTATGTCATTTAGTGGTTAGATGTATTTGACAGCCGACTCATTAGAGTCAGTGTCGCACAGCGACATCCATCATGTTACGCTCGATCCACCTGTTTACTGCAAACTGTCTTGTGTATTGTTAATTATATCTCTTCGTTTCCTGTCGTTTGTTTGAACGCAGTCTTCATCATCTTTAGTGAAACCTATCTATGGTGCATTTGATATCGCCGATTGCACCAATGCGGACAAGTTCAGATCGGAAATTCGTCGTGTACGTTGGCACCCATTGCACAAAGACACACTGGTTTTACTGACTAGTATGTCTAGTTTGATCTTTGTGCAATGTTCACGACCGGATGGCCTACGTGGGATTCATTGTTCAATCCTACTGGAGCTGCAAAGTCTAACGCACATTGACGGTTACCGTGTCCACGAAGATGCCGGCTACAGCAGCGATTCGGACAGTGGGAGCGGGGATGACACATTTTGCAGTCGTAGTCGGCTTGACCTACAAAGCGCTCTGGGTACTAGCTGTGTGGATTTCGACTTTGGTGCAGTTCTGCCGCGCGGCTCAACGCAAGTTAAACAGATGGGCTTTGATGCTAAAGACTGCAGTTTGTACGTCTTGCTCGGGACAGGTCAGTGAATGATTCTGTTGTCAGCTATGCCGACCAGTATGGGTCGAGTGTAGTTCGTTTGTTAAACTCATGTACAATCGTGTTTCGAGTTTGTTCATTATACAGCGTAAAAAGTCGCTGTCACATTTGAGTAGAGAGCCATTAAAAGTCGTTGGGCGATCCCCATGGGCACACTTCTTCAAAACGGCAAAAATAGCATATATGAAACGTTAGTCATCAACCCGCGTCTCTTGGCATTGTGCTATTGAAAACCTTTATATATGTAATGCGGTGTCGTTTCCTTCTTCTATTGTCATACCTTGCCAACATTATGGCATCGGTTCGTTATTTCCCATCTTTACTATAACCGATCACCCTTTCGTCTGTTTTCGTCCTCGTGTATTGTGCGACCGGAACGACTTGTGGTACTATCGCGCTTAACTGCATATTTGGCAGTGATCAATCTTCCATCTATGGCATCCCATGTGCTTTCATTAGAAGTCCTGATCTGTGTTGAAGGTATGTTCTGGAATGTATAGCTAGGCGTATAGTAAGTCATTCATTGTGAACAGAAACATTGATATCAGAAAGCATCAGATAAATTTTGAAAACGTTTCCAAACTGGCAGTAATACTGCAGATCATTGATCTTTTCTCCCACTCGATGAAGGTATCTTTATTCATTTTGGAATGCTTTGCGATTACCCAGATGTCCATTTCACTTGTACCACTCAGCAGCAACCTTGTATATTCGGATTAGTGATAAGTAGTTTGGCGGATTTGATAATTTAGAAGAGACCCATTTTCAAAAAATCTAGATTTCGGCTGGATCCGAACCAGCGACAGAAACAACATGCCCTAACACGGCAAATGCTCTACCAACTGAGCTACGAAGCCACGCTGGAAACTCAGAAATTTCACATTTTGATCTAGTTACCCACCCAGCCAACTGTGTCAAATGGAATCCACCAAATGACTCAGCCGATTGACTACCCAATCAGGATTTCTCGATCAGTTCACACCGGAATCCCCCTATGCCACCGATGAGCATTGACATTGAATTAGTGATAAGTAGTTTGGCAGATTTGATAAGTTAGGTCCAGCTGTGACGTTTCTGAGCTTCCGGCGTGGCTTTGTAGCTCAGCTGGTAGAGCATTTGCCGCGTTTGGGTATGTTGTATATTCGAGTTGATAGGTGCTTGACCCAGATGTCATCAACAGGGAGAGGAAGGTTATACCCCTCAAAGGGAGTAAGGGAAACGGGTGGTAAAACTTGATTCACTGAATTAAATCAGCACATGCTTGTTCATAAAAAATAAGGAGCTGGATAAAGTTTAATGAAATTACTAGTTCATCTATTTGAACTATTAAGAAATTCTTACGGAAGTAAGCTAGACCACTTGGATAAGTTGATTACCAGATGCCGACTTTGTCAATTTGACTGGGCCCATCTTTCGTGGTAACTTTATTTATAAAGGCTTTAGATTCAGATAGAGTTTCGTCCTTACTGAATACACGTTTCGGTTGCTTGCCACCGATAAACGTTTTTCTAAGATGTACTAGACGAGGCGAAATAGTAGACTCTTGAAGTATTGTGAATACTACCTTAGTTTCTAAAAAGGAACCTACTGATACAGGTTGATCGCACGCTATTTTGCCGTTTCCACAATACTAGAATTATGTGCTGTTCAGATCTACCCGGAAAGCTCATCAGATGTCAGAGTGTGTTAATGTATTTTTTTGGACGGACACTGTTGTACAACCGGTGCGACCCGCTCCTCAAGACCAAGCAAGTGAGTAAGCGCAAAGTGAGGTAGCACTACTGGGCACTGTGTTGTTAAGCTGAGCGCATTCGATCTGCTTAGGGGTGAACGATATTCCAAACTTTGCGCCGTGAAATGTTTTCCTCAAGGTCTTATCGGCTAGCGGTACACTTGAGATTTCATTGTTGTAGGGGAGGTTAATGTAGTTTCCTTTTTTGCCCAGCGGGAGTTTTATGGCCCTGTAGCTCCGGTCGTTTTCTACTACAGATTATTGGTTTGTTAGAGTATGTGTTTGTGCGGACCGTTTCTGACAATAACTTCCGTACTACGTGTAACATGTGGTTTGTAAGTATTTTACGTATTCGACTTAATAAAATTCTCATAGGATTCTACTCCTCTTTTTTGGTTCGAAGCTGTGAAACGAGTATACTGACCTCTTCACGTCAAATTCCTTCGCGTTTCTCATACAATTAATCTCTCTGGATGTTTCGGTAGTGCAGTATCAGGAAAGGCTAACCTTCTATTCTGTTACGTTTCCATTGTCCAAGGCTCTTGTTAGCTGTGCCAACTAACGACAGTGTAGAATCGGTACCACTGACATCATCTATAATACAATAAATGGCGTCACATTCTTCAATTATTCATGCATTTGTTGTCCGTTCAGTAATTCCCATGAGTATGTAATAAACGACGGGCCTGGTGGTGAGCTCATTGCGATAACATCTTTCTACCAGTAAATTCTCCAAGTTAATCGAAGTTGTGTATGCTGTATACACGCAAACTTGTCGACTTCGTAAAATTCGGCTGTTCTTGTTTGTTTTCTTTGTGTTCGCTATACTTATACTTATTTATTATTACCACCACTTTGTGGACTATTGTGAGGTCCAACAGCAGTCCGAGCCATATTTCCCACAGGTACGGCTCAAACTTAAACGCAATGCTGCTGTTGATGATGCGCACTCCCTAAGGAGCTTATTTAAGCACCTATCCTGCATTACATAACTCATAACTTGAATGGATGTAATCAACCGGAAATAGCACGTTTGCGAATAATGGGCACATCTCTAATGATAGTCTTTTACCTGAAACTGTCTCTTTGTGGCTTTAGAAGGTATCCTTCAGACTATGTAGAGCTTTCGGTACAAACTAACTGGTAGCGACTGGTGATCAACTACGGAGTGTTTGTGTACATCTACAACACGAATGAGCCTGCCCCGTCATCCGTAGAGCAAGGTCGTGTGTGTACACGCGTTGTAAAATCTCCCTTTATTTTGTTTTCCAAACCTTACAAACGATGCGGATTTGCAGTCATATTGTGTACCTTCACTATTCTTATAAACGCTTTCTCGAGGTTGTTAGAGGTTGGTGAGATGACATCGTATAGGTGGGTAAAGCCATCAGCAGTCTCAAGCGGACTGGTTGTAGTAACAAAGATGCTGTAAACATTAATCCAATCTTGCAGCCACACTTTGCACTTCGAAATCGCAAAATGCATACCATACTAGCCATGCCTATCGGTTAACGAGTTCACCATGGTCCTCGTATTGTTTAGAGAAGAACTAAGTTAAGGAATGTCATCCGCAAACTCTATCTGTCACTGTACTACGTGGCAGAAATTCCACTCCGATTGCTTCTTTCAGGAAGTCCCCTACGTACTTAAAGAAGAGGAGAGAGGTCATATTTTCCTGCCGAAAGCCATTTAGAGTGGAGGACGTTCGGGATAACTGCCGATCGACGCGCGCTATGCACTGTGATTGGAGGCGAAATGACTTTATTAAATTGACATACTTCACTGGGATTCCTTTCCTGTGGAGGCTGCGCCAGATAGCATATCGGGCAACCGAACCAAAAGCAGCCTTCAGGTCCAAAAATGTGTAAGAAAAGTGGTGACCCTGCTTCAACTTCTGTCATATGGTAATGGAATACACCTGTGATCAGATGGGAAACCTGCCTGTCTTTCTCGTATTTAATTTCTTGTATATTTATCTAGAACCAGTAATAGTATGAGACCCCTGATTGTTTGCATCCATTTACCGTAACTTGGAACTTTAACTCTATGGTAATCCAAGGGTATTTTTCATGTAGATGCATTATTTGCACTCAGATGAATTCACCGTACTTTATGTTCTTCTCAGGCGAGGTGTTACAAGTGGCTGGTTGTCTCACAGCTGTTCCTAACCGACTCAGAGTTCACGTTCGTACCCTTCAAATTCTCCCTCCTTCACCCGATAACTACGGCGATGAATTTTGTTCGTTGTTGTGCATTTCTCCATGGACCCAACGAGCTGTCGCAGAGCATGCATCTGCCGTTGAAGTACCTCCTGATGTTCTGGTTTTAAGCAACCGTAATGGTCAATTGTTTCAAGGAGTTGTTTTGAACGCCGTTTGTAAATCGCCCAAACAGTCAAGTGAGCGATTTCTCTGCATACATGAGGCTGACTATACGTATTGCTTTTTTCTTTTTCTGGTACAGAATGCTCCTTTAGCTTAGTGGTCATCTGTATTCAGAATTATTTTCATAGTCACGTATTCATATTCTTGATTTTCTGTCCTAAAGTGGTCACCGACTCGACTCCCGCATTGTGTCTCGTGGATATTGTTGATCTACATTTGCATTCGGCTATCGAGCCACTGGAGTCACATGATAACGACCCAGCTGCATCCAGCTCTCCTCCCACCGGGAACCTTTCACAACCACAGCCAACCGTAAACGATTCGGACGGTGGTCCACCACCTTTGGTTTTGGAGCCGGCGCGCCTAACCGAACGAACAGCGTTTTGCGAATCCACGCCGTCATTGCAAAATTGGAATTCTGACTTCGAGGGAACTGATTTTCAGTATCCATGTGCCGCTTATTACGTGGTTCACGATGCTGGGCTTCATTTAGTCTGCTTGCCTTGGCTAAAAGATTTACTCGCCTGGAGCCAGAACCTGCTGGAAGATCCTCTGGCCACTAGCAAAGATGGAATATTAGGAAGGGGTTAGTTTTGTTTTGACTGTTCCTTTTTTCTAGTACGCTTGTTGTTGATTGCCACATGCACTCATGAGAGTGAGTTCAATGCCGACATTTGATCCTTTGGTTTGAGTTTCGAACAGTAGTTTCTCGGTTACTCTCGAGTAGGAGTAGTCAACCTGACTGTGTGCAGCTCACTCACGTTTTGATGAGTCTCATGACATCATACTTATTATGACAAGGAAGCTGCCAAATCCAATAGTTAAAAACGGAAGTTGAGATTTAAGATCTAATACGAGATAATTCATTATCCCGTAGGAGATTTCAGCTCTGATTTTCCAGTTGGATGGTGACAACTGTACGCTGCGTCGCCAAATCCTGATCTGACGATTTTGTTATCTTCATGTACTCAACAGCTTGTTGTATGATTTAAAGTTCTTCGATGACTCGTTTCGCAGACCTCATCTTCTATGAACATCTTCATAGTTCTCATTTTCTATTGTCCATTTTGCTTATCTTGAACTGTTGGTAATCTACCTTTCCTTTATGTCAAAATAAAGTAGAACATTGACGTACACGTGACCTACTTTTGATTAGTTAAGCTCGGTATCCGTAATCGGATAACATGTGAACCTTGGTGCTGTTTAAAAAAGTTGAATTCACTCACTAAAAATGAAATTATAGTTCTGTTTATATTAGTCAGGTGTTCTCGTTATGCACGTTTTCTGTCCGGATTTTGTTAGTATACATTCCATTTTCCCCACTTCCATGAACCGACATTATGATATTTTGGGAAAAACAAGAACAAGGCATTTTCTTTTTAGTTAATGGACTGCCCGGAATTTATGATAACGGGTGACATGTCACTTCCAGGAGTGATTATCGACCACGATGACGCGCGAAATACTAAGCTAATGAAGAACTTCGATTGCTACTCCCAGTTGCGAAACACGTCATGGATACCGGCTACCTGGTTGACTCCTTGACATCGTTTTCTGTTGTTACACAGTCGAAACCCGAAGTTGTTGATGTTCGTGAGCTCTATAATTGTAGGGCAGAATTGAAGACTACTCTATGCATAAAATGTGCACATACACTGAATATGATTGCCATGGAGTTGACCCTGGTTTCAGTAATAGGCTTCACGTTTAATTGTTGTTCATGTTGCCGTGAAGGCGTTAC